TTCCCCCATGCCCTCCAAACAGGGGGAAACGGGGGGGATTGACAGGGGACGACTCGTGCAATTGTGCCGAAGGCCAAGAGCCCCCACCAGGAGCGCTCTGATTAGTCGGGTCTTCGGCCTGGACCCCGTCTGGTGTGTCCCGCTTTCCTGGTTTGGTTTTTACGCCATGTGGCTGCTCGAGTCCGTCGCCATATCTGCAGCACTAGCAAAGAGCCGTCGAGCTGTTCAGGGGCATCTCGTATCACGACATGGGCCGCCTGAAGGGTTGCACCGATCGAATGGGTTTTCCAGAACCCTCTTATGATTTTTTTTTGTTCTTTCCTTGCAGCATAAGACGCAAGATGCGCTGGTGGAAGCGATGCATCTGGCTACCTTGTGCTATCACATCTAGTTAGATGCCGCATGCTGCCGCTGTTGAGCATTCAGCTCATTTGCCTTGTAAAGGCACAAAGGCCTAACGCCTCCTCTTCTGTCTGCCATTCAAAGCATGGAACAGAATGACCAGGGCAGACAGCTCGTCGTCAGGGACACCAGTCGAGAGAGTTGGGTGGCGTCAAGGGTCGATTACCTGCTGCAGGCCTGCCTACAGGGGCTTGAGGGTGGCGACGGCGCAGCGAACGGCGTTGATGGCTAAACCCTAGCTCTTAACCGACATTATAACAAAAAGTACCCGGCCACAACGAGGCAGCCCCCGACTGATCTTGGCACACCGCGCGGGAGCGCCCCGCTACCTGACTTTTCTACTAGGTACTGGACCACCTAACCTGCTGCCACCTTGCGTTATTGCCTCTTCCCAATCCAGCGCGGGAGTCTGTTGAGGCTCTAGAACACCATCTCGTAGCCCTGACAGGTGCTGATCGACAAGAGCGCTGCCGTGTTTTTCTCCCCTTTCCAGACCGGGCCGAACAGGTTTGACAGACTGATCTCGACCCGCGCCAGGTGCTGCCAGACATCGGACGATCTAGCCCTAGCAACCATGCCAGCTAGCGAGTGAATTAGGAAGTCGACAAGCAAGGTCTGTGGTCATTTCAAAGGTGGAAGCAATTTGCTTCAATCAGTAGTTCGACGATAAAGGGAAAGCCTCTTCTTATCGCGACATTATTCGTCGCACAGCAATGAGCGAGATGCGTGGCCCTTTCCTGGAGAACCTTGTCAACTTTGACGCCACTTCATTCTCACGTGACGATGATTCGGAATCGCAGATTCGGCCGGCAGTTCCATTGAAGACTGTTGCGTTGAAGCGCTGGGGCTGATATGAAAAAGACCGAAAACTTTCCCATGGCATGTTGATCCACTCCACGGCCGGATGAGGAGCTGGATGCGCCCGCCAGGACCTGAGCAAGGTCGGCTCTTTGAACGTATGGCCGGAATCGCCATCGCACGCCATTATTCGTGAGAACAAAGCGTGACAAGTGTCTTTGAGTTCAAGAGGGCACAGCTATATGGCGAGTTCTAAGACGCATGTCAAAGAATGGCAGTTGAAGGATAAAGAAACAGCACTTGGGAACGCATCGTGGGCGTACGAGTATCTATGGGGCCCTTAGGATACAGCTTTCAGGCTGTGGGGGTTCTGGCCCGAGCTGAAAACATCACATTGCATCCGAGCCATACAGGGCTGAGTACCAACACGTAAAGGCGAGCTTAGTGAAGGGAAGCATTTTCATGGATGAAAGGTCGTACGTGGTACGTGTACGTCTCAGAGGTTCGTCACGACCAAGGATGGCTGGTTAAAGGAGCGCTCTAGTACTATACCTCTTAGGCTGTGGGACAGCTTCTGACGTCAGGGCCCGAACACCAGCAGCAGTGGCTAGTAGTGGCTTGTAGTGGCTTGGATTGTTGGTAGGCGTGCTCTTGCTCGCTCCACAATGCTTGATACCAGCTCCTACACACAGCCTCCGCCTCTGGAGCATCAACCCCGACCGCGAGGCAAGTCAGGCAGAGCAGTTATCGTGATCCAAGTACCTTATTGACAGTCATACGGAAGGTGTCACCTCGCTCTCGGAACTGCGTTTGAGATGACGCTAGACCACCGAAGACACGGGCTGGGTGCGGCAGGCAGCCCTCACGGCGCAAAAGACCCGACCACCTCCGGCGACCCGGGCCCGATGAGATGTCGTGACCCGAGAACGTGTTTCAATAGCACGTTCTGAATGGCTGGGTGCTCCGAGACGAAATGTGTAGCCAAGCGAGACGATCGCTTGGCTTGTCAACGAACGTTAGCACAGAGACAGGTCATGCTGCCTGATCAACTTGACAGAGCCCTTGGCGTGCGTCAACCTTGTCCACTTTCCTCGGGCAGATAACGTGGCAGGTCAAGCCTTCCCCGCGAGGAAGCATATCAACGTCTACCAGCGTCAGACCATCTCCACTGACGACGTGACTGCCAGAGACGCCAGACAGAGCAGTCGCGATGGAGGTTCGGCATTGAAGCTCTCGGCGAGTTTGCCATGTGTTCCACCATTCGAAGGACGTCGAAAAAGGTTCCTGCCTTTCGACGAGTATAGATCTTGACCGGGTCTCTTGCTCAACGTGTCTGCTCAGTATCCCTAT